GATGTTTTCTGTGTTGTAGAAATACAATGCCAATACTAGAAAAAGATACTATATGTAAAATTTAATGTTAGCTTTTAAAATACAAAAACTTTCTCGTAATTATTTTGAAGCTTGAGGTTGGACTGCAGAGCATCTGTTTGGATAGTGCAATTTCAAGTGTTGTCGTTTCCCCTCGGGACAGAACAGCTGGGGATCAGCCATGTAAGCTACCCGCTGTGTCAAGTGCCTTCCCAGTGGTCAGCCCCCAGGCTTTGGTCTGTGTGCAGCCAGTTTGGAGTATTCAGAGTTTGGTGGCTTGGGAACCCTTGGTACCCCCCCAGCCTTAGTGATGCATCCCCAGCTAGCCCATTTTCCAGGTAAACAGTGTTGCAAGGATTATTGAGCTAAAGAAGAGATTAATTGTCCTTACCCACCAGGCAGACTTTGTAAAATACTTCAGACTATAGGCTTGATTTAAGTCCCGGACAATTTTGATGAGAATAAAGAAATGTATTGGCTGAGTTTCTGAGGAGCAGTGTTTTCACAGTCTTCTGAGAAACAAAGTAGTACTTGATCTTTTTTATTCTTTCCATCCCAAGGTAACATCCTTCTTCAGTACATGGTGTGTTGATTGCATAGCCACAATTCTTGAAAGTACTCAGCTAGTAATAAGATGGACTTGTTTTCCTTTATAAATGTGCTTTTTGTCTGTTAGACTTAATACTGGAAGTTCTGTCCAAACTTGGAAAAGGAAATTTCATTTGACTTCTTTTTGTGAGCTCAGTAATTATTTCTACCTTTCCTCCCTTTCCTTCCTTTCCTTCCTTTCCTTCCTTTCCTTCCTTTCCTTCCTTTCCTTCCTTTCCTTCCTTTCCTTCCTTTCCTTCCTTTCCTTCCTTCCCCCCCCCGTTTAGATCTGTACTGTGCTATGATGGAGGAATAAGTATAACTTTGGGAGGTGGGATGGCTTAACCCCAATAAGCATTAGTGTGGAAATATATCTCAGCTGCTCCTAATAAAAGACATGTTGTCTTAGTTTGAATGCAGTTCTACCTCAATGTGAGTGTTCTGCTCTTGGGATGCTGTAGCTCAGGGAACAATGCTGTATTGCAAAATGCACCTTGGGTTAATAGATTTTTTTAATTTTTTTTTTTTTTTTTTTCTCAGAAGCCAAATACTTGATTGTAGAAATCCAGAGAAATTCTAAGGCATGGTACTATTACTATTACCTCATTTGTCTGTAATAGGATTGGCCAGCATGATCTTGTTTCTTACTTGATTTTATTTGTAAGTAAAGGGTATTTTATTTTGTGGCACCTTGTAAAGACAGTAGTCTCCCATCCTTTAATATCAACATATTGCACAGGACAGATGAATACAAAACGGTGCATCTGACTTCCACTGTAAGATGTCAGTTACTCAGCTAGTGTTTTCCAGTCTTGCATACTCTGTAAATCTTACACCTGAGAACAACGCTTTCTCAAGTAAATTAGATACTGTAATGCATTCTCCAATGTATGCAGTACATCAAGAATTTAGCATTGTGGGATTCCACCACCAGTAGAGGTTTAAGAGTGTAGGATTAGGTATTGGTAAAAACCTACAGCAAATTGGCAAAGAGATCTTTTTTGTATTTTTAAAATTTTGTTTGATATAAATGACAGAATTTTATTTTCGTTATTAATAACAGAGGAGTAAAAGCAGAACTTTTTTTACGGGGAGGATAATGAGATACTATAAACATACCTACACAGAGCAAAAAAGCACCTGAAAGAAACGCATGTAGAAGTGAGGTAAGGAGGAGTAAAATACTTAAAGCAGTGAATACTGATTCATTTATAATGTTCTCATTCAGTGAATTTGTTTTTTATTATATTAAAAGAATCAGTTGTAACAGCCATCTAACATGTTAGTACAACAGAGTTAACGGGTACTCATTTTAAGCTTTGCTGTAAGGGATGGTAGTTCATAGCTTCCATTGACTTTGTTCCATTTTGCAAGAGAAACTTTAAGTGAGAAAATTTTATTTTTGCTGTAGTAGGAATGAAAGAACTCTGCATCTGACCTTAGACAATTTTATGACCTTCTGTGATGTTCTTGAAAGTTTCAATTAAAAATTGAGACATTTGTGTCTGTAAAAGTGTGTGTTTGTATTCATGTGTCTGGGTAAGTAAGTGTAGGGGGAAGACATTAATAATCTTAAAATTTTGGTTTTGCTGTCTCATTTAAGGGGCAGTATATTCAATAGATCTTGATAATATAATAAATAGCTTGGAATTTATCTTAGGCAGTCTAGCTGTATGTAGTTGTTAGAATCTTGCTTAAGCCTTTGAACGGCATCTTTGTCCTTAATTTGGTAGCAATTTGTCTGCGTGTATGCTGTTTTATATATATTGTCCAGTGACCATTGTTTTTACATTTTTTGGTTAGTACATTCCAACTTTGTGACACCAATCAGAATATATACAAAACTACTATGTATCACTATGCTCAAATTCTAAATTTAAGATAGTAGAATAATGTGAAGTTTTTGCAGATTAATTACAGCTTGCTTATCATACTACGATGAAATTTTTAGAATTGCTGCTCTAGAGTGTTCAGTCTTCTGTTTTCATCACTGGTGTTCTAGCCATACTTTGTATCTTTTTAGCAATTAGAATCTTTCATTTATAACACTTTCAAATCACTGTGATGTATGTTCTCAGAATTTCAGTTCTGTTGACACTGGCAGGTTAAAATTTCTTCATTAGCCTCGTTCAAACTTCATTTATGTATTCATTAAGAGTCTTAATTACTGTATGTAACATCCTTATACTTGCATAGCTATTTCTTACTTTCCTTACCTTCTTAATGTGTTTCATAGCAAAATGAAATAGCTGTCTTAAATGCATTAGATTAAATTCTGCTCAACTATATGGTTGAATTATTTCAATCACACTGGTAATGTATGTGTGCAAAATAACAGAAGTTCTATACTTATGACACAGCTCTCATCCTCATAATATACAAAACTTGATATTTTTGTTTTTAGAAATGGAGCGTGCTAGTGGGCTAAAGCACAGATTTTGCTCTTTCTCAGCTGTTCACGGGGATATTATGCAAAACTGTTTCTGTCCTGAATGTATGCCACAACTTAATCTATGTTTCAGGGTTCAAAAAAAAAAAAAAAATAAAAAAATCACAATTGCATTTAAGCCCTAAAGAAACAATTTTCAAGGAAAGTAAAAGCAGTCAATCACAGAAGTCAGAAAAGACTTGCTTACCACCTAGTCCATCCCGTTACTTGTGTAGATTATGCTTTCCAGTGTATTTCTAGTGTTTAGTGTTACATAACAAAGTTTTCACTATAAGACTGGAAAGCGTACTCACAAATATGGTATTTTAAGCATTAAAAAAAGCAAAAAAAGCACTGTGTTTTAAAATCTTTTCGTATGAGTCAACTGTACCAGAATACTGACCTTTGCTGCCTTTTAAACACCTTCACAGAGTCATATGGCCAGTGTAGAACCTGGCCAAAGAGACAACCGTCTCTTCCACACAACTTGAATTATTTTATGTGTGCTTTCTTGTTAGATTTACGTTTTAGGTAGACCAAACCTATATTTCTAGCCCTTGTCACAATGGCATTTGTGTCACGTTTCTGATTCTTTGCTTCTTTTAATATGATAGCATTTCTGTTTTGACTGATGGTAGGTGGGGAGAGTTGGTTTTAAGAGAAGTTTGGAAGAGATTTTTCTTTCCTGACAAAATACTACTGCATTTTTTTTAAACACACACATTTTCTCTCTCACATACATAACTTTCCTTCTTTCCCTGGGAAGTTTCTTTCCCTTCAGAGGGATTTGAAAGGTGGTTCTTTAATTACGCTTTGCAGGTTTTTTCCAGTTGTTGACTAATGTGTTACAAAATGTCATAGCTACTGCAACAGCTAGTACAAAAGAAGACCCTGGCACTTTTAAGGAATTCCTCTATGCAAATCTGCACACTGTTTCTGGGCTCTTGTCTAAGCGCAGAAGTCTAGGAGAAGAGCAGTGCAGTGGATATTTGCCTCTAACATGGCTGTTTAGACTTAGCAGTGCCTTAAAAAAATACAGACAGTTTGGTCTTGCACAGTTTCAAGAATCTACAGAAAAGGATTACGTAAGGTTTGCATAAATATTCTAAACAGTTGCTGCTATAGTAAAGAACTTTAAAAATTGGAAGTTGTAGTGATCGTATCAACTCATTTGAAGTTCATTTTCCTGGAAAACAAAAATCAATAACCATTTAAGATGAACGTGTAAAACAGCAGCAAAGCTGAAAAGAGTTAGATTGTTTTTAAAATAAGAAATCTTTATTCCTTGCTCAACCACTTGAATTTATGTAACAAGCAGCACAGAGTAGCCCTGTTTCTGGTTGTGAAACAACCATTTTAATAGGGATGTTACAGAAAAAAATGAAGAGACTGCTTTTTTCTAATCCAGCGTCAAACTCCAGGGTAGAAAGCTCTTAGAATGGGTATGGAGTTACTATAGAGTAGCTAAAATTCCTATATTAAATAGGCCATTTCATGGGGAACTGCTTCAGATGTGTTTTTGTGGTGGAGGCCTTGGAGTATTCCAAGACTGGGATTGCAGAGGTGACTTAAAGCTGTTGTGCTTTTTTATAGTTCTGATGTAGGAAGACAGCTGAGGTAGTAATGAATATTCAAGAGTGACCTGTGAATGTTGATCCTGTTTATAAGGCTAGCAGTTTCATTTTGAGGTGATCACTGTCACATAGCTTTCTATTAAGTATTTATTTTCAGAATGTGTTTAAATAAAACTGCATTGAAATCTGTACCAGAATGGCTTTAATGGCTTAAGACAAGATTTGTTGCAGAAAATTCATGTCACTTAAGAAGTTCCTAAGTGTTGTGTTTTCTTCTTCACTCCCAGATTTAGTAAATCTGCTCTAGATTACGCACAGCAACATTCTTACAGAAATATTTAAATGTGTTATTAGAACAACTGAAGTTTGTTTTTATTTACTTTGCGTTGCAGAATGGTGGCGAACGGCAGACACACACTCTCGTCCCGGGGCAGCTTTTTTCCCACCACTCCTGGGAATTCCACCATTGTTTGCACCTCCTGCACAGAATCATGATTCTGCCTCATTCCACTCAAGACCTACAGGAAAAAATAGTCGGAGCAGTACAGAGAAAGGTAATGGCTAAACTTGTAGATGGAATAATCGTATCGAGCTTCTGCACATGCAGAAAGATGTGGAATTTGAGCTTTACCTCTCATCATTCTTCCCATTCCTAAACAGTTCTGTAGAAATTGATTCTGTTAGCTAAGCATGAGACATACAAATACGGGCTTTCAGTAATGAAATACTCTTTCTACTAATATTTTTCCCCTTCTTTTTCCTTAGTTTGTCTGGGACTGAGTAGGAGGGAAGAGATCCCTGTTAAAGTTTGTGGTTTGATTTAGGGGGGCTTGTACTTCTACATTGAATGCCGTTCCTCAGCATATAAGCAGCAGGTATCAGGTAGTTCATAGTGGGGGTGGGGGGGCATGGGGGGAGGGAAGGCTACAGCTACAGGATCTCAATGAAAACAGCCCAATGACATTAGAACATTTTCTTGCATCTCAAACCAGTGTGTTATGTAGTGGTCTTGGACACCTGTTGAAGATGTAAGATACATTTATTTGATGTTTTATACTAGGTTTGCGCAGCTTAGAGCAGAGGAGCCTGAGGGGTGACCTCATTGCTGTCTATGGCTTCCTCATGAGGGGGAGCAGAGAGATAGGTGCTGATCTCTTCTCCCTGGTGTCCGGTGACAAGACGTGAGGGAATAGCTTAAAGCTGCATCAGAGGAAGTTCACATTGGATATTAGGAAAATATTGTTCACTGAGAGGGTGAGCAAGCTTGCCAGGGAAGTGGTCATGGACCCAAACCTGTCTCTGTTCAGTAAGCATTTGGACAATACTCTTAGATCTGTGGTTTAACTTTTAAGTTGTCCTGTCTGGAGTCAGGAGTTTCACTTGATGATCCTTGTGGATCCCTTCCAACTCAGGATATTCTGTTCTGCGATTCTATGATGTACAAATAAAGCTTTTTTTTATAGTGTTGGTAGGTTTTAGGACCCGATACGTGTTTCAGAAGCAATCTGATAATAGTCCTGGGATGACAGAGTAGCAAGTTTGTATGGTTAGGAGTATTTTCTTAGAAAACAATAGTCATCTTGACAGATAAGTAAGCAAGCTTGAATGTGGATGTTATTTCAAATAGCATTCCCACAACTCCCCCCCGCCCCAGCTCCGCTTCATTTTACACATTGCAAAACTCATAAAATATCTTGGGCTTCATGTGGTTTTCTTTGGAGCTGATTGATACTTCAAAATTGTAAACAAATTATTATGTGAGATATTTACTGGAATGTATATTTTTGTGTCATCTTTCTTCAAAATCTTGTTTTTCTGCACCTGACTAAACTCAAGGATAATTTAGGCTTAAAAATGGACAATTTCAGATATTATTTTTTTTCTTCTTTCTTCTCCTTACAGCGTTAAATGTGTTTGTCCTTTTAAATCATGGGGTGCTCTGCATGTTTTAATTAAAATAACTCCACAAGAAACTCAAAGTGAGTCTTGGATGGCAAATTTTTAGTATATGTTGGGAGTAACCTTTGAGTAGTCTAGTATCTTGTTCATGTTTATGCAAGCTAGGTTAGTGTCACTGGAAAGTATCTGCTACTTCAGATTTTTGTAAGTGTCACTTTGTAAATCTGTCATCTTAAGGTATAAATGGATCACTGAATGGGAACAGTACCACCGCAGTATCTGGTATCAGCACATCTGTACTTTCCACTAGCATTGCAACATCTGCAGGACAACTGAAAGCTATAACCTCAGGAGCAGGAGGGCGCAAATACAACCAGGAGCAAAGCAAAGTTCAGCTTTTGGACACCAGAGCTGACAAAATCAAAGATAAGGTAAATATACAGAAAAAACCTTAAGATTCAGACAAAAAATTGACATGGTAAGTGTTCTGATTGTGCACACAACAGCATTTTTAAGTGTTCTCTCCTAGTACAAAAATGTTTGAGGTTTTTCTTACTATTATTTATTAGAGCAAAATCTGTACCCTTGTCTCTGTAGGGTTTTTTTGTGTTGGGTTTTTTGTGGTGGTGTGGTTGGTTGTTTTGGGGTGTTTTTTATTATTATTTGTTTGTTTTTTGACATGCTATGAACCAAAAGCTACCATCAGCACTAATTCCACTAGCTATAGCTATATGCAGTAACATATATTTATTTAATTTAGATA